GAAGAATATGATGATGATGGATGAGGATGATGATGATGATAATGATAATGACAATGATGATGGTGATGATAATGATAATGATGATGATTAACAGTGAGAAATAGCAATAATGCATGCATAAATGCGTTCTTTGTTTTGTAAAGAATAGCTAAGGAGTTCATATCATTATTCTGACGCTTCAATTTTTTAGCATTTTATGAACAACTTATTTCAATGGAAATCCTTTTAAAAGGCGGAAATGGTAAGAAGAGAAGAAGAAAGACAAGGAAAAACGAGTTTGTTGCAACTTCTTCACATAAATTATCTTCCTGGCTGAATTGGTCTTTCTTTGAAGGAAATGAATTTACAGTTTTGAAATAAATTAAGTCAATGTGAAAATTACATTATCCGTAAATAATACATTAAAGATTAAAGATGATTTCAATTATCCCTTACTTCTTACCTGTGAATAATCCTTCTTAGTTGTCATTACCATCATTTCTATCTGTTTTCTCCATTCCCTTCATCATCATCATTACAATGATTGAAAAAAGAAATAAATTTAACGATAGAATATTTAGTTCGTTCAAATTCTATGCTCATAATTAAGAATTTGCATATAAACTATAATTGGAGCTGTAAATCAATTAATTAATTTTACAACACAAATGAAGATAAATGATAATGCATAACATGCATTTGATTGAATGCAAAATTGTATGCCATGCAAGTAGATAGAGGATCAAAAAATTCCTCTACTATATTTGTGGCCAAGTATTCCATTGTTTCCAATATTGGCTATACTTTCTTTAGTACTAATTGGTGATTGAAAGTAAACTGGAATACACTTGTTTTACACATCATCAAATAAATGCACAATTTGGCAATAACCTGTACTGGATATGAGCGCATGTCATCATGTCAACATTATATGACTGGTATAAAAAATTCGTTGGGTTGATGAAAAAAAACGAAAAAGGAAAGAGGAAAATATAAATCGAAGAATACTACAAAACTGGGTCAATTTTTCCGTTTTATGGAACCGGATGGAAAAAAAAAGGATGGATGAAAGATTTGGTGACAATAATTTCATTTCTTTTCCGCTGTCCTTATTTGCTTCAAACTATCAATTTAGTCGTCAACACAAATTTTTGCATAAAATTTTGCTTCTTTACATGCAAGGACGATCCAATCATAAAAGATGCATTTTGTGAGAGTGCGCAAAATGACCAACAATTCGGTCTTTTGAATAATTTCATCTCTCCCTCTCTCTCTCTCTCTTCCTCTCCCTTCCTCTCCTCCATCTCTCTCCTTCTTCAGTAATATTATCTTTCAAAGAAAAAATGTACAATAAAAGGCTTATTTTTTAAAAAAGTTGAATTGATTATTGAGAATGTAGCTATTCTTTGTAAAACATTACACAAAATGTGAAAAGGGACGAAAGGACAATTGCGCAGCGCAATTGTGACATGTCGTAATTATCAATCTAAGGTTTAATTGAAGATTTTTCAAATAATTAAACTAATCAGAACTAATTCACACAAAAATGTGAATTTTTAATGGTACAAGGCAAAAAACTATGCTAACCTAAAATAGCTTCATTAAAGTTTGAGGCTAAGTTTGCATAAAATATAGGACAAGTGACAAATACGGATGCAAATGAACATCATAATAATACATTTTTCTAATCATTGAGAAAAAAAGGAAAAGAAACGAACTTGATAAGTTTTATTTCTTAAATGCAAAGGTAGTTGTTGAGACAAAAATTTTAAAATGACAATGAAATGTTTGACGAGAAATTTGTATGAAAGGAGGAGTTGTTGTATTGGTATACCGTTGAAATGACCTTGCAGCATTCATGTATTGATGTTTGTAAAAAGGAAATCAGATTTATACTACTGATAAATGTGATCAGTTAAATAAAATGATATTGATACTACCTGTTGCACACCTATGCTAACATGAGCCAATTTACATGGTGAATTAATTGTAACAAGAAATGAGAGGTAATGAATTGATATTGATATGATACCTGATATTTGTAAAAGTAAATATTCGTGGTTTCAGTTTAATTTACTTCTTTTTTTTTATCAATCTGAAAATATCACGAAAATATTTTGGAAAATATTATGCAAATATTTTAAATAGAATTTCTAAGCTAAAAGAATTTACTACTATAAAGTGGAATATGATGAATGATCGCAATTATCTTTCATAGCTTTTTAATTTTTGCAAATTATGAAAACGATTGTTTATCAGTCTGCCTATAGTCTTGTCATTTTCTGATAAGTAAATTAATTAAAAGAGGCGAAATTTTTTGTTGATATTTAATAATACTGAAGAAAATGTAATATTGTTAGCTAAAAAAAAACAATTGAAATGAAATGGAAATGAGACGGAAATAAAACGCATTCGGAAAATATCACTAATGAAAATGAATGGAAAAAATCACGACAAAATCATTGAAATTTTTGACTTTTTCAAGAAAAAAAGAGAAATGAAACGGAATTATTATTTAATCATCAAACTAGAATGACCTTTTACCTTTTATTTTTTGGTAGCAAAAATTGCTTACTTCAATGATTTGTTCTTTTTGTTAAACTTTAATTAATTTCATAGATGTGTCCGAGGACATATAAAAACTTCAATTTTTGCCATTAAATAGTTTTTTTTGTCTTTCAGAAAAAAATTTTTCTACTATTGTTCTTTTTTTATCCTCTATTCTGATGAGCCAATAAGATTTGTTTTTGAAAAATTCGTTTAAATGAAGTTTTTAATTTTAAAATTTTGCAGTTATTTGTGAGAAAACACTAAGGATCATTTTGTGAAAGTCATTGAAATAATGATAAATTGCAAATTTATCAAATTGATAATCTGGTTGTTTATCATTGTTTGTTGCAATCCAACGTTAAATTTGTGTCAGGTAATAATTAAAATGTTTCTTGAAAAGTTGTTTTATAAAGGACTTAAAATTTAGTTATCGAAAATGATGATGCATTTACATTTTTATTTTTTGTCTAACAAAACTGAAGGAAATGATTTTAAGGAAGTCTTATTTTTTCATGTATTTTAAAAATTCTGATTTTTATCAAATTCTAATTACTATTTACATAATTATTAATTAAATGACAATTTCCTCACGGAAATATTGGGGAATTTAATAAAATGCAATGTTATTAAATGATAAAAATTTTATTTTATTTCGCCCCAAATTTCTTGTCTCATCTCTACTAACTGTTAGGTTATCAATGAACCGATTTATGAATAATTGTCATATCGATAAAGGAGAAACATTAACTGAAAAATCGAAAAATGGACTTAATAATTTACTGAAATTTAAATTGAATCCTTTTCTAAATAATAAAAACTTATTCATTTTAAATTAAATATCATCCACTAAAATGATATCCAAAATTATTATTATTTTAGGAGAGAATATTTAACTTCATCCAATTTAAATGGAATATTCCCTTTAAAGAGACACACAGATCGAGGTTTAAGTAAGATGGAATTTAATTTAAGTAAGCTGTGCAGAGTAACTAAAAGAAAACAACCATTATGACAAAGGTGACAAGTGTTCTGTTATGGTGATAATAAATTAAAAACCTGAACTTATTTGAGATAATTAAATGAAGAGAAAATTTGATCATTTTGTAAAAACTAAGGTGGCATTTGATGATTAAATCACATCTGTCCTAGTTCAATTCTTTTGAAATTTTTTTAGAAAATCTACTGAAATTTGATTTCTTTTAGGAAAGCAATTCATGGAAACGAATACCTATCACATCGAGATTAGATATTTATGATAATTTGATAAGTTGCTCCTAATATTGTTTGCTTTATCAAATTTGATACTGTTAATCATAAAACCTTTAATGAGTTTATTTTTCAAACTTTTGGTTAAAAAAAATTTTCTCACCTAAAGTATGTCATTCTTCAAAAACAGCACAATTATGTGATTGGTCCAGAACGGATCATCTTTAAGCAAATTTGTGATGGACATACAACGGTTCCACTAGGCGCATGTAGTAATGCGTATGTTCGATGTTCCTATAATTCAATTGGTCATTGCATATCGACCATTCTTGAGGAATGTCCAATTGGAAAGGTCCATTAAATACAGCCACACTAATTTATACTATTATTCAACTAATTTTATTGCAATTAATGAAACTTTCAATTTCCAACACACTTATAATAAATATTGATTGAAAGTGGAAATTAGAAATTATGCTAACTTTTTGTAGATTTTTAATGGAGCATTTTGTGAAATTGCACAAAATAATTGCACAAATATATGGAGCCAACAAATGGGCAAAATTAATTCTGAAACAGAAAAGCTTTTTGAGGTGAACTGATGAATTACAATGAAATTTTATTGTCACTATGTGCTTTACTTTTAAATAAGTATGGAACAAATACAATTATAAAATACAATAAATAAGTATGAAAACTAAATAAGTATGGAAATCTAAAAAGGATGGAAATAAGTGTGGAAATTTTGGTCTTTGGTACAATTTTGAAATTTTAGTCTAATTCAAAGACGAGTGCAATAATTCTTATGATAATAATTGAGTGCAATTAGCAACTTTTATCTTTGCAGGAAATGAATTTTTGTTACAATAGCGGTCCAGGAATATATATGTTTCCAAAGATTATATGCTCTCAACAAGCATATGTATGCAAAAATCATAATGAGGGATTTGCAATTACATGTTTACCAGGTAAGCGCAAATGTCATAACTTTATGCGCCTATATTTATTGACAAGTGCAAATTTCTTTTTTTTGTAACTTATGCGTTGATTTCTATAGGATAGGCGCAAATTTTATGACTTATATAAGATCTTCATGTAAACAATTTTTTACAAAAGTTTTTTGAATATATTTTCTCTCGTTTTTCTATTGCTTAATTTGTCTTTTGATCGAAGTAATTAATAAATTGAAGCATCTTTTTTAATTATCTCATTTTATTTTTGTTTTCATTGATTATACTATACTCACCTAATCTACAGGAATGATAATGTTACGACGACCATTCGGCTGTTTTGTTTATCCGCCAAGTTGTGCTTCTGATAAAATTTCAATGAAACAGTCTGCTCCATTAAGGCAATATGCTATTGAAATATATTGTAATAAGCAGCATTTAACAAAACGAAACAACAAAGTAATGATGCTTCCGAAGGTGCAATGCATTACCTGGTAAATCAGCAAATTATTTCATGATCTTTTTTTTATCGATCATATCACTTCTGAATTTTTGGAACTTTTAAAGCTTAGAAATGTAAGTGTTTAAATTTCTGAACTCAAAAAATTAATCAAAAGCAACAATTTGTTAAAATAAAATATTTTTGCAAATTTACATCACTTTTGTCTAAAAAATTTAATATCGAAATTATCAGATATTATGAGATTACGAATGATATTTCCGGATGTTATAAAATGATAACTTAAACATTTCCGAATTTTGCATCAATAATTCTATCATTCAAATAGATATGAATTGTTGTTTATTAGAAAAAAGGAAAAAGAAAAAGTAAATTAAAAGAGCAAAGGTAGTGATCATGTTGGTTACTATCATTGATAACAACAAATTTCAATGCTCGATAGTTGAAGTAATAATTAAAATTTGATAAATGAAATAAAAACAAGTGAATTTTTCCCTAAAAATCGTTTACAATTTAACAGCAATTAAAATATCCCTAAAATATTTAGGTATATTGGATGTGGTGAATTAATTAAAGATATTATTTATTGTGAAAATGGATTCATTTATGATGTAAAATTGCGGAAATGTAGACAACGAAATGTCAAAGATCGTTGCGTAATGCCAGACTTATGCAAGTACTTTTAATTTTAAAAATACAAATTTGAAAAAAAATAATTTTAATCTTTTCATAATACATAGAAGAAAAGAAATTCATTGTATTTTTAGCATTTCAATTTAATTAAAACTTTATCTTTTAATTTTAATAATACTAAAATTGTGTGCAAAAGGAAATTTTTGTAAAATTTACGATCATATCATAATATTTTTCTATTCTCATTTATATTAGAATCTATCACAATTTAGGATTCTGAAACTGAAGTAGTTCACTTATGAGAAATTGGAATAGATCCACTTTAGGAATCGGAAATGGCGAACGATATCATTTGGTGATTGTAATAGACAATTCATATATTGTCGAGATCAAATACCAGAGAAGTTTGTTTGTTCCGAAGGCTTCATCTTCTCTAATGGTCACTGTATACCGATATATCAGGGCAATAGTCAATGTTGGAAGTGTCAAGATGGCCAAAAACAGCATACCTCATTTCATTCATGCAGTGAAGTCAGTAATCCGTTTAATCATCCTCCTTTACTATTTCTATTTTAGGCTCTTTTTGGCATAAAAAACTTGGCCATATAGTCGGCATAACATGTGAAAGATGAAAGTATGCTGTAGAGGAATGATAATTTCAAGTAATCTCAACTTTATCACACATTTTTATTTCTCTTTTATTACATTCAAATTTCAAAATTATCATTAAATTGAAAGAAAAATAAAAAAGATTGAAAGAATGATTGATATTTTTCATTAATTTAATTAAATTTTGTCTTTTTTTTCTTCCAAGTATTCTGTTTGCAAAAATGGTCGCTGGGAGGACTATAGATGTCCAGCTGGGATGGCTTATTTTGAAACCAATCAAATGTGTCAAACAGATCCATCTTGTGCTCATCAATTTGTAAGCACTTGTTATACAAAATGTTTATGCCATTCATTATCAGTAATACCTAAAGGTATGATGCATTTCTGATATGATAAGATACAATGTTTCTATACATTCAATGATTTGTTTATTCTTGCATAGAAGTTGAAATTTAAATTTTACAATAAAATTGTCATGAAAAATTACATGCTTTATGCATATTTTTTCTACATAGTTGCAGAAATGTCAAATAGGCACATCATTCCAACTGAATTGCAACGAATACTTGATCTGTTCTTCGAAAGGTATCATTGAACATCGCTTTTGTCCACCATTTCATCGATGGGACAATCAAGCGCTCCTGTGTATTTTTGATAATGACTGCTTACCTCCATCGGTTCGTTGTTAAATCAAAAAAGAAGGACAGATGAAAGAGGAAGATGGAACAATATGCATAAACTTTTGATAATATCAAGACAGAATCATCAAGCTGAATCAAAATTCAAAATATGAAGTCATATTTAGATATTGTTCAAGTGAAGTGAAAATTTAGTGGAGGGAATTTTTGTGAAAGGATAGATGGACTTTTATAGAATGAACCATGTAGAGAGGGCGCAATTATCCATAGTTTCGATTGCAAATTTTATCATCACTGTTTAAATGGCAAATGGTATAGAATGTCGTGTGTCACACATCCAACTGGTAATTATTTCCTATTTTTTTTTCTCTTTGATAACTTATTGTGTTTAGATTTTCAATGAAAATTTGCACCGAAACATTTCAACTAATCAATAAAATATCTGGATACAAATTAATTGGAATATCTTATTCATTGATATCATATGGAAGCAATGTCTTATTTTAATTATAGACTAATTCTGCTAATATATAATAACATTACTTAAATTATAATTTAACTTTAAATAATGAGTATGTATTGTAGCAGAGTTGTGCAAAATATGTCGCCATTACGGTAATAATGTCACTTGGCAAGCAGAAGAAAAATGCAGTGAAGGTGATACGGTAGCAAATCCGCAAGATTGCGGAAGTTATGCGATATGTGATGATAGAAGAAGATGGAAGAGTGTACGATGTAAAGATGGCACTTTCTGGAATCAAAATTTAAAACAGTGTTATCATATCACTGACTGTAAGGCATTCAAGCGTGTAGAATGCAATCATGGAGAGGTCAGGGGTCATTTTTCAATCTCATTTAAATTTATTGAACATAATTTAAAAAATTTCAATACCTTTTAACTTAAACAACGAAAAATTTGTCAGAGATATTTAACAAAATGATTGATCGATTTAAGACATTAAATTTTAGTATCTGATTGGTGGTATATGCAACAAATATTTAAAATGTATGCAGGGTTCTTGGATAACAATGAAATGCTTCCCGGGATATGCTTTTGGTAAATTTCTTAGAAACGAAAATATTGACTTTTTTTTTCTTTTCATATATGATGTCATATTTTTTAATAAAATGTAATGCAAAAAAAGACAAGATAGATAGAGAAGAAGGAACAGAGCAATTAATCTTGTCTTAATTATTTCAATGTTAAGTTAGATAGTTATATCGCTAATTTATGTGGAATAAAATAAATAAATTGCCGACATCTTTTTTGTTGTGTAATTTTTAAAATTAAGTCAAAATTCAAAATTTAAAATGAAGGAATCAAAACACTTCACGTTTAAAGTTTAACGTTTCACGTGAAACATTATTATATGTTAAACATTATTGTATGTTATATATATTATATGTTAATGTCATATGCGGTCTTGCTATAATTTGCATAAGCATTTACGTAAATGAAAACTGTGTAATTTACACATTATTTAGATGTAACCACGAAGAAGTGCGTTATCTCGAATGAATGTGTATCATTGGGTAATAAGTATTTAAGTATGATCGATAACGATACAACTGATTCATCATCACCATTTCTTCAAATGAAACAAAACTGGAACAGAATTAATAACTACGTAGGATAATTAAATCATTTAATGTAGATTATCTCAAAAGTGATATATATATATATATACATATATATATATATATATA